GCGCCACTTCATAATGACATATAATGCCCAAGGGAAGAGAAACGCTTCCAAACCATGCGCCGCATAGTTAGTGGCTCTTGTTTTGGGAGCCGTGAACACAAAGAACAAATATTGCAAGCTATTGCCAAAACCTATATATATCCCAAGATTGTGGGGGTTTCATGGGTTTCTGCACGGTCCTGCCAGTCCTGCCATGGTTGTTTTCCCAAGGTTCTTGGGTCTTGCGCTCCTCGAATGATCTCTCATGGGTCTTGCGCTGGTTTCACTGAAGCTTCCACATATTATAAACCATTACTTGCAGCTATCCATCATTAGCAGGAAGCAAATATGATCAAATATATCGTGTCTCAAAGGCCTGGGTGTTTTGCGAATGTGTCAGATGCAAACTTTATCTCAAACGGATATCATGAAAAGGTCAAATGTGTATTGAACATACTAGTCCCTGCTCCGAAGATTGCACAATTTACCCCCATGCAGACTATGTAACATGAACTGAAACAATGACCCGCTGGAGACCAAGTTCCTTTACAACCCAGTGGTTTTGGGGATATATTATTCCGCAGGAGGTATGCTAAACGATGCATGCATTTGCAGGATATGGTGGGATAGATCATTCTGACCCCCGTGTTGGGCGAGCAGCTGGTTGCTTGGCATTGAAGCTCTTCCTGGCGGACTGGCATCCGACTTTCCAATCGTTTCCAATGCTAACGTCAGTAGCTGGCAGTAGATAGATTCTATAAGTCAGTCACCAGCGAAAGAACCCAACACACTGGATCAACACACTGGATGCCAACAGGATCCAAAAGGCGTCTGTGGAGGATTCAGAAGGACGGAGAATGCGACACTTGGCTGTGTCAAAACCGGGAAATGGCAGGACATCATGAACAAAATCTCCGGTGCTCGAAACAACTGAAGTTCACTGAAGCATCGGAATGCCACACCAGTAATGTAGATCCTTGAGCCTTGAGTAATACAATGTAGTAGAGTCCCCGACCGGAAGACGTGTTTCAGTAATCAAGAGTCTAACATGACCGGAGAACCTTTGGTCCGGACCTTCCAGGCAGTCGCCATCTGCTCTTGCTGGAGCCCCTGACAGGTCTATTACCTTTATTGGTCCCTTGTTCATCCGTGGGGTGATCTCCCCCTCCCGCCTTTGGCCCTTGCTTGTGGCCCGTCCCGTGGGGCGATTCCTGGCGGGGTTCGACCGCTCGTGCGCACGAACGTTCCACGGCCCGTTGGAGCCAGCCATCTACTCTCAGGTGTTTTTGGGGCAAGCTGAGGGCAAATCATCTTATATATATACCTGGAACCCAACTGACCCCTGTTTTGATAGGAAAAGGCCATATTTTGGGTGGTTGGTGGTCCAAAATAGAGGTCATTCAGGTTCTAGGTATATATATGTTATATATCCGGTCCGGCCTGAATTACATCGCCCACGGTGCCTTTGAATGGACCAAGGACAGTCTCTGTGAGGTCCAGGAATCCCCGCCATGCTTTCCGAACATCCAGCTCTACATACCAAGCAAAACTCACTTGAGCCATTTTGACCCTCAAACTACTGGAGCACCTCAAGCCACTGAAAACAAACTGCGTCAAACAGTGTTAACAGGTCATCCCTAAGGTGATTGAACAAATTCTTTGATATAATTTAATGGCAACGGATGTCATACATTGGTTGCTAGCTCCTCTGGCTGCCCATTACCACAGGTGCCACGGCCCCCCAGGCGGCCACCACCTTGATAGGGCGACACCTGACCAAGTGGCTGGAGGGAGGATACAAAAACGCGCACAACAAAAACGTTTCATGAAACAGGAAATTGAATATCATTCATGAAATAAATATGTGATTAGCAGTTTGTTGATCCTATTGACCATATGACATGGGTTGCACAATGTAATTAAGGCATCAGATTGCATAAGAACCATACCATCGTTTTAACATGTTTCCTAGGAAATCGGCCCTTAATGGCCCCAAAAATGAACCAAACCGTCGTTTCCAGCCCCCCTTGTGGTCTCGCTCCACCTTGGCCATGACCCACCACGGCCATTGGCGGCTCGATCTGCGCCATCCGATCCTCCTTCCGCGCACCTGGAGGCGGATAGGGGGCTGTAGCGGGGGCGTTTCAAGGCTGGGAAATGCGGGGACCTTGTCGTCATCCATGCCAAGCGCGAAAGGGAGATCAAAGGTTGGGATACTTCTGGATGTTGCCTTCATGGACCTTCATCCGATGTGTATCCCAAACTGTCAGTTTGCTGCATGGGTCCCACAAAACCCCTCCAGCAAGCCCAGCATCTCACCAACGAGTCGGGTCTTTTTCCTGGAAACTTGAATCAGCTGCCGACTAAAAGTGAACAAATAACATCAAATAACCCAATACATGGTTTGAAATGGTTGACAGGGATTCACCCTCTCATTTTGCCGTCAGGGCCAACGAAGGGTAGTTCAAGAGGACGAACACGCGGGCGATCTTCACGTTTCACTCTCCCGGGGATCGTCCAACCTCCCAAGTCTGGGCCCGAGGTCGAGGCCTTGGCGTATGGTTGGTCTTTCCATCTTCGCCTGGGACAAAAGCCAATGATCAAGGTGGTGTGATGGACCACAATGAGGATATGGAGGGTATGCCATGGCCATGGTCAACGCAAAGAATCCAACTGCGTAAGCGATCCGTAAGCCTTGCCAGATCTGTGACCTTCTCCGCCCTCGCAGCCGGAGGTGCTGGTCGCTTCCTGGCAAAAAAATGTATGTCAGCATGCATGGCTGGCTGATACTCTAACATCTATGGCTTTAACATGCTTTAACATGTATGTTTGGAGACCCCCAAACAATGGGCTTTGCGGCTTTGCTGCTTGTCCCGGATTCAGGCCGTCCTCCCCGGAGTCAATGAGAGATGCCGCCCAAAGAACCACGCTACCGTGGTGTGCGCCCTAGGGTGTATGGACATTCTACTACCGTCGCAAATGAAAGTAATGCCCAAGTACACTAGGGCTGATGGGCAACTTTGGGCTGATGGGCACACCCTCCAAAAGACCACTTGTAGCCCAATTGATGAACCCAAGGCCCAGGAACCATGCGCAGGATCGAGGGAAGCAAACAGCCAACCAATATCAATAGGTGTTGGATGGTTTGGGTATGTTTTGGTCTATTTCCCTTCTTCCAAGGGGTCTTTGGGAGGTCCCCCTATCTTGATACACACCCATATTGTCAAGATGACCTGCGCCCAACACAACAGCATCAAATACTACACGGACCTTTTGGGTGAGCTACCTTAACAGCTTTGGTTTTCCCGCACCTCGAAGAACAAGTACATTGCACATCGTTTCAGAAAAAAATCCGCGATGCAATGATGCAATCATTCAGTTTTTCAGTGAACAGGGCATCGACCGAACACACCGTTGACCCTGTCACACTCGACGGACCTTGTCACACCAAAAAACCTTCAAGTTCGAGTAACCAATGTCCGACTGCGCTTACTGGGCGGCGCTGAGAGTCACGACATGTCACGACCAAAGCCAGCGGTGCGAGTCTGTTTTGCACGAAAGATGAATGGATCCAACACACCAATCTTTGAACTTTCGCGTCGAACTGTGGTTAGTCTTTCGTTCCACACCCTTCTCAGCACAAAAAACTCCAAACACTCCATGTACTCCATATATATATATATATACATGTCATGTGTATATACATTGACCCGGCAAACCTCAAACCACCCCATGGAGTGGGGGTCTCAAGCACAGCGACCCGACCCTCGTCCGTTGGTCTTCATGGGGAATCTTCCAGGGTTCAATGGTTCAACCTAAGGGAGCGGTTCAATGGCTCAAGGTTTGGACATCATGGTTCAACAGTTCCAAGGGTTCAACGGAGAATGTCTGGAAATATGATGAGCGACTTACGCGCATTTCCAAGCGACGAAGTAGGGAACCCTGGACCCTGCATTTCATGCAACATAAAATATACGTGAAACTACTTGTAGCGCCTCCACATGATAACTAAAGCTATTGAGCTATTGCAACTCAAAGTTTTTTTTTGTAAAGTTCCATCGATTCAACGCTGATCAAGCGTGGGCGTCGGCCAGCCTGTACAACTTTACAACAGCAAATGGCCCACAAAACCGACTTGTGCAGTGGAGCAATTGCCTCAGTTGCTAATTTCACCTATGTTCCCCTAGGGCTCCAACTACGTCAAAACACTTACATTATACAAACAAATTGAGTCTTATTTTGAGGGAAAGTTAGCTACTTAGACATACTTAGACCCTGTTTTGGGAAGCAACTCCAAATCAGTCGTCCAGCTACATAGTTTTTATCGATGGTTTGAGCATCAATGCACTGCAAAAGCTGCGACGTCACCAGTTCCGTGCGCGCACCACGGCAAAGGGAGACATAGCATACACGGTGGAGGGCAATGGTGCAGATCCGGTTCAGACTTGTGTGGAAGGCTTGAAGGCTTCCCAATCTGATTCTGTTTCAAAGCGCCTTGTGTGTGTGTGCCTCGTGACATTGCAGTGTCCAGACTTTCCTTTGCTTGATTTATGCATGTTGTTCGTCCTTTCTCTTATGATTTCACTTATTTTGCCTATGTTGCTCATTTCCTAGCAATCCTCCAAGTGAACACAGGGCCGTGTCCAGTTTCCATGTGCCAACCAAGCGCGGAGTTGGAACTTCCGAACAAGCGCCAGGATTCACACTCACCACTGGGCGATTGAACTAGTAAACGACGCAAACCCCCTACTGGTCTGAAATGGCTCTGAAACATCATTTTCGATGGCCGGTGCGACGCTGGCGCGATGCACAGGATACTCAATACTCAAAAGACGTCCTGGATTAAGACATGCAAGTACAAGTCAGACTACCAAGGAAATAGGATTAAGAAACCTTGATAGTTCTCTAATCCCAAAAACGCCGCATTTCAACAAAAACTCTGGATGAGCCACACATAGCCATACCCCTTCGTTGTGTTTTTTTCCGTTGAAGGTCTTTTTCGGTTTCAACACCTTGGAGCCCTAGGCTTCATCATTTCCTACCTCTCGCGCTCGAGGAACACCCTCGCTGTGGGGTCGCCATGGGGCGCCTCCTCGGATCGTGGGTCCCGGTCCCGGCCATGCGACGACAGAGGCATCCTAGTCAGTCCAAAGGAGATTTAAGCAACTGCAGTATATAAGTTGGGTATATCATGGCCATGCTATATCAAATAGTATGTCCCAGGGCCCCAGTGGATGAGGATGGTGAGTAAAGGATAGTAAAGGCCAAAGGCCTGACTCTCTAAAACGATGTCAATTGCTTTTTGCTGACTGTCCCTGGTAGTGACTCTAGTGCCACACACCCTGGTTTTAGCTCCGAGTTCCGGGTCAGTCCGTGAGTCCTCGCTCGGTCTTCACCGACGAAGGAGTGAAAGAACCAGCTGGAAACGTGACGGCCGCGGGCCTAAGGATCGCCTCCCCCCCCCCTCGATGGGCATAAGGATATAGAGAGAGAGATCAGAAACCATGAACTGAACTGAGAGGTGGTGCAAAGTGAGTCCAGTGCTTGAGAACCTCCTCGGTCCCGAGCTCGCCATTGGCCACCATCGTCGGGTGATAAGTGCATAAGGGATGCAGCTCTCCGCCCTGATCTGCGTAGGTTTCTACAAAGAGAGTACGGGAGCCTACCAGTACTTGAGACACAACATATTCATATAGATGCGGCTGAGGTCGAGTTGATACGGCGAACGAGCAACCAGGTTGGTTTTAGACTATGAGATATCATTCCAGCATGCCAAGCAAGCAAGGATTTCCGATCTTTGGAGTGGCCCAAGTTAACCAGAAGGCAAAGATCCTGTGGTGAAATCCATCGGTCGGGTTGAGACCCTGTGCCCTGCGCACGCATGTTGCTGGCCAAAAGACGAACAGCTGAAGCTCAAAGAGAGCTGATTGGCATCTTTGGGTTGTTTTTTGGGGGAGGGTTCTGGTGACATCAGCCAGTGATGTAGTGATCCAGTTCAAATCAGGGCGCGAGGGTCAGGCCGCCACCCTGGCCGCCTGGCCAGGCTTTTCCGCCGAGCTGCCGTCGCCCAAAGCTCGTTGGCTGAGTATCCTAGTGGCCGCCAGCCGCAGCTAAACGCTCCAAAGCTTGAGAGCATTTCAAGCGAACCCCCCTATACAACAAGAGGCCATGTCCAACAATTGTTCAAACTATATAAGGTTACTCTTTCACATACTATGTACATATAAAGTGAAATCATTTTCCGGGCTCCAAGTTTGTGTCGTTGTCGGGCGTGTTTTCGGACGTCAAGTGGGCTCCTAGGGGTCGTGGCTGGGATCTGCAAATGGCACAGATCCCACACAGTAAACACGGTGGGTCTACCAGGGCCCAATGGATAATGGCCCAGGTTGCATGCCTTGTGACTTGTGAAACCTGACTGTCACAGGTAATAGGACAAACCATGACAAACCCAAGGTATTTCAAGGTATAACAAACATACACACATACACACACGACAAGCACCACGGAAAGGGTGGTTTGTAGACACCCCTGACTGTCTAGGTTTGTGTTGGGCGATGGCAGCCATACATGGCCAACCATCAAATAGTTTTTGGTGAGAAAAAAAGTGAGAAAAAAAAAAGCAAATGAAAATGCAAAAACACAGCCAACAAAAAAAAACAAAAAGCAAAAACAAAGCCAAAAAAAGCAAATAACAAAGCAAAACCAAAGCGCAATAATAGGCAAAAAACATCACACATCACGATTCACGTTTTGCGTTTTGCTGGTCCACTTCTGCTTAATTGTATGCTCGATCAAGTTGTATGGATTTGCTTTGCCCTTGGCCCTTGTTCTCTTCCTTCATTATCTTTGGTGTTGTTTCCCATTGCTTGGACTGTTCTGCATTGTTTTCCTTGTTGCCTTCATGTTCTATGCCTTTTCCTTGCTTGATCCTTGCTTTTCCATTGCTTTACCATGCTTTGTCCTTGTCAACTTAAGTTGATGGCTGCGCTTTCTGCTTGTTTTTTTTTGCTTTTTTGTTTGCTTTGCCTTTTGCTGTTTTTTTTGCTTTGTTTTTGCTTTAAAAAACTATTTTGTCTCCTTGAGTCTATGGCTGGCGTGCCCGACTCAAGTCTAGGTATCTTTCTTCCAATAACCACCCTTTCCGCGGTCAAAATCCCTTATACAGTATATTTTATATAAATAGTATATATATAGATTGCACATGATTGGATGGTATACAATGTACAACCCTACAACGTCGAGCTTTGCAAAGCTGCGAGAAGACATGCCAACCAAGTACATGTCATAAGGCGGATTCCATCAGTGCTGACAAATCACTCGCACACCCTCCCTTGGTATCCCTTGGTGTATAGATTGGAGATAATTGGATGGTATATAACCCTACAACATCAGTCATCAGTGCTCACAAATCACATGTACACTGGAGTTCATCCCGTGTTTGCCTCTTCCCAGGGGCCAGGACGTCTACTTCCATGATGGGAGGGTACCCTCGGTACCCAGCGAAGAGGTCGAGTTCTCACTCGACCCACCCCTCCACCCCCTTCCGATGGCCTGCCCAGGCGGATGCCAGGCTTCTCAATGATCACATGACCTTGTTTTCGGTGCGTCTATGATAGAAATTGTAGATGATCATGAGTTGGGCCTACCGCCTACCTGTCTGAATACCAGTAGATACAAGTCATAAAAGCGATTTGCTTGTTTACAGACTGTTGCAGGTATTAGGACAGACATGGACAGACCCAAATCATGAGGTTCACAAATAAGTTAGAAACTGTGTCTGAATGTCTCTGTCCAGAGTCGACGTACGGTGGATGTTCCAAGGTAGTAACATCTCCCGCGAGATCGGTGGTTTCGGCCAGTGACACGGTAGGGCGATCAAACAGCTCATCAAGGTCCAAAGGAGCAGCACCACCGGATAGCGCCAAATCGCTTCACCTCGTCGGAATGGCACGTGCAGAAAAATGGGGGAGGAGCCAAACCATCCAGAAACAGCACAGATGCGCAGGAACAAACAGGTGCACTTGGTGTTCTTTGTCTTCGGCCCAAGAGTGGCCATGAAATGGCATGCATGTCCTCCCTCCCAAGCTCAGTTTAGTGCTGTGACAACTGTACTGCTGCTGCTACTGACCCCCATGGGCCCCATGGCCCGAGGTCGACCGCGGGGTCCGGTCATGGCACCGGGCTACCTGGTTGACCAGAGAAACTGAACAGCATTTGCGACCAAAGAAGAGGTGAACCTAGGTGGGCCACCGGGGGAAGCTTTTTCTTGAAGAAAGGGCTCCATGTGGGTTTTGAAGCTGTTTCTTGAGGCCAAGAAAGGAGGAGGGCTGGTCCTTCTCGATTGCTCCGAATCGCCCAAAACGCGAGGCCACCGGAACCGAATTTCCAAGTCACTCACGGAGGTGTCCGCAGTCCACTGCAAATCCAGCTCCTTCATGAGCCGGGCGAGGGGCTGCACAGCAAACTGCTGCATCACATAAGCAGAATAGGACAAAGTGGCCAAGCACCTCCAGATCTTTGATGCCAAGAAAAGCTGCAACCTGAAGGCTGTCAGCAATGCCAGTGTTTTGATGTGTCTTGAGTCTTGAGGTATATAGATTCCATCTTACTTAGTTTTTTGAATGTGTGAACCACTTCTTTCAATGTGCTCACGCTTTCAACGAGTGGCTTCGGTCCGGCATCGACCGAGACGAACGGGCGAACTAGTGACACCGACAGGGTCTATCCTATTACCTGGGCCCAAGTGGATGATGATGGTTAGGTTGCAGGCCTTGTCCAAAACTAGTACAAAATTGTTTGCTGACTGTCACAGGTAGTAGGACAAACCCCATTGACACCCTTACACCATCTTACACCAAACTTATCCAACACTCAACGCAAAGAATCCCAAACAAAACTTTGGTCGATGCCAATCAAATTCAGGAGTTCACAGTAATTGTCCATTCAGAAGTTTACAGTTTCATAGACTGGTCTATTTCCCTTGGAGCTCTTTGGGGGGTCTCCCAGTGCCTTCAGTGGCAACCCCGGCAATCGCCGCCCAGGAGCGCTGACCAGGGAAGGCTGCGACCCCGTGGTGTGGTGAGGCAGCGGAACAGCACGCGAGCCAAAGCCCAGCCATAAATGGGTGGAAAAAGAATGGCAATGAGCTTCACAACCACCTGTGCATTGGTCAACTCAAGCGACAAAATTGATCACGGGTGAACCATTCGTGGCAAAAATTGGAGTGGGATGGAGTGGGCTTGATTGATGTGTGGGCTTTGGGGACGATGCCTTAAGCCTTAAACCCCAATCAACACGCGCGGCCATGCATTCGACACCCAACACCTGGGAGAAGTGGTCGAACATGAAGGAAGGAGCAGCTTCGGGCTTCTGCCCCAGAAGCAGCGACAAAAGCAGAACACCCAGCGCCGCCACATCCGAAAAAACTGCGGCGCTTGCCATCGCGGCGCGCGGAATTTCCGCGGCGCGTGATGCGGTGGAGTCGGCGCTTGCAATCACTGTCGTGGCGTTCGGAGCCAGGCTTCGCTCTGCGAAGGCCAATTGAAGCGCGATGCCGCTCAGGTAGGGTGACAGGCGAGAGAGGGGATTTGCGTAGATGGGCCGAGGGGGCCAAGTCCTTTCAATGGGGTTGTCAGGCGAACCAAAGACCAGCCAGAACCTGAAGACTGTGCTCAAGATGGAGATGCATCCCAAGGCAAAGAAGGCCCAAATTCGCCTTTGACCAGTTGGCCGAAGCAGCAGCTCTAGCAGGGCAGGGGTGATCAAGTAGATCTGCATCTCGGTGCCAATGCTCCATAAAACAGTGAGGTCGGGATTCTTCAGACTCTCAACATCGAGGTTTTGCACCAGCAGAAGGTGCGCCCAAATCGAGTGCCAGCGAGCTGACCAAGCACAGCAAGGAAGCAAGCCCATCAACAAACTCGCCATCACGGCCACGCAGACCATGGGCCACAACCGGAAGAAGCGGCACAGCAGAAACACCGCATACCGTCTCCAAAGCGGCTGTTTAGAAGCTTTGCGCAGCTTCTCGTAGCTCCGAGTCATCAAACAACCGCTCAGGACGAAGAAGGCATCCACTCCGGTGTTGCCTTGGAGGGGCAGTTGCGCCCACCACTGTCGCTTCATCACGTCCCAAGTCTCTTCGAGGTCTCTTCGCTTCTGAGATTCCACGTCCCAAGTCTCCAGGAGCAAGGAATGCAATGCGAAGGTCCACAGCAAAGCCAGGGCCCTGGCCTGAGGCAAGGTCCAAAGCTTCCTACATCCCAAGTCCCCTGATGAGGATGGCTCGCGGATGGGATTTGCACCCGATCTTTCCAACATATGAACACCTGCTTTTGGAGCAAGGATGGCGCCCCCGACTTCTCGAATCGTGTGGTTTCATGACCCAGTCTCGAAAGTAAACGTCATGCACCGATGACTATGCGAAGTCGAAGTTCCGTTGAATATATTTGTACAAACAGTGGCGGCCCGCTACCTTTAAGGTCAGCCTGTCCAAGGCAAAGGTATCATAATCTACTCTCATTAGTGAGTGGGGGTGGGTACCCATCACATCTCCGAAAAATCATAGTGTGTTCATGTTCCATACCCAAACACTCCATTTATGCCATATGTATGTATGTATGTATATATATACACCTACTTTGGGGTGGTTTGGGGTGTCAATGTAGGCATATTACACCCGGAGTGTTTGGGAATGTTTGGGACATCTCTTGCCCATCCGAGTTGCTCCATCCAGCACGCGTAGCCAGTCAGTATCGCTTCTGATCCGCAAGTCCTTCAAATCCTGGCGGACTGGATGCCACAGGTCACATGCACAAGGCCCCCTGCTGGAGCCAAATCCTTTAACTTGAACCACTTCTGAAGGGACAACTGTCATTCTTTTCCGAAGACCAACATGTGTATTTCATTGTATTTCAGTAGAGCTCCAAAAAGAAAACCTGCAGCCAATCCCACAGGCTGAAACAAGAAACAATCAAGCAACTGTCGGCTATTTTGGATTATCTGTCAAAATTGAATTTCAGCAGCGAGTAGTACAACAAGGCAATGGACCGAGTTCATTCTATAGCCCAAGCACTGCACACACCGTAAACAAAGCTGGAACCCCAACGAGGTGACGAAGGAGTTCCAAAAGGCCGTGGCTTTTGGATGCTAAGTGAGCAGAGCATGGGCACCCTATAGCCACCCCTTTGGAACTTCTACTCCAGAACCTTCAATGATATTGGATGATCTTAGATGACTATGCGTTCACCAACGAAGAAGCCCGGCCGTAGCACCTCCACCTTCCGATCGATCCCTCCGGCCTCCGACACCGGACGCACAGGACGCACAGGACACGAGACGCACAGGACGACGCACCGCGCACCGGGTGCGTCTCGAAAGGGAACGAGACACGGGTCCTGAGCAGGAACAAAGAGCTTTCCCATTGGACATACGGTTTCGGCGACCGCCAGCGGAGAGTGAGCCGTTTGGGTGCGGAGATTGGCCCATCGAGACAGCGCCGGCTCGGCTGAGACCTCAAATCTGCTTGAGCCGAGGATGGCCGTTGTGATCGCCCTGATCTGCGAGCAACATGCTGCAACAAGCTTTGGCAAACAGCATGGGAGGCTGGATGAGGCTGGTTTTTATACCTGTTTTTAAGTACTCCTGACTTGACCCTGCGGTTTGACCCAGGGTTTCTTCAACACTCTCCAACTCTCCCGGGCTGTGCCTGGGCATGACGACCCACCCGCGCACAGCTGCGTGGACCGCTCCCTTTTCAGGCGACTTGCGAGGCATATGCCTTGGTCACCTGTTCCCAGATCCTGCGCTCCAAGCTCAGCATCTCTGCGCCCACCCTGGTGACGGTGTTCGAAGGGTTGGTTCTTCAGCTGATTGAGACGAAAACAAACAAAAACCTGTTGGTTCCAACCTGTTGGAACCCCACATCTGACGAGGACCTCTATGTGAAGTCAGGTAGAAGCGACCTGACCTGGCCAAGTGCGAACATGTGGCGACCTGACTTGACCCAAATCGCTTCAAACACTGGATGCTCACGTGGCAACTGGGGGTCTAAGTATATACTACTGTATTACTATACTGTATACCTGGACCATCCCAGGGGTGTCCAATGGAGTACCCCACACTACCTATAGACTTCCATTGGGCACCCCTTGGATGGTCCAGGTATATACGTAAAGATCTGGAATGATCACCAGCAAAACCCATCGAAGGGGTGCAACTGGAGTGGTGATAGGAGGGCAGGTGACCATGATCCGTTCGCTCGAGGGATGGCCAAACCTCTCCCGCTGGGAGCTCCGCCCAGCCCCTCAACTACCCGGGCTTGGAAGCATGGCGTTTAACTTACTCCTTTTTTTTGTGTCACCCCAAGTGGATACTGCACAGCCTTACCATGCAACAACTATAGTCTGTAGTACTGTATAGTTGGTCCCAAAAGCATCCTCACAGGATGAAATTGTGAAACCCACCCGAGAGCTGGACTTCTCTAGCTCAAAGAGTTACAGTAGCTCTAGTCAATCAATCCGCCTTCTGACCGAACCTGCTTCCGTCGGCTTCACAGTTAAAGACTCCCTGTCATTTATTAAAAGATATTAAAAGGACATCCATGATGATTTCACGGAGTGTTTCACCACGCGCATCGTCAAAACGCCCCCCCCCCTTCCACCAGCCGGGCGGCAACATGCCAAAGGTGTCGCTCATCTGCCGCGAGAGCGGGCGCGCAAAGCGCGTGCCAGGTGGACCCACCGCACTGGCCTGAGTGCACATGCTGACCAGCGTGGAAGCAGAGCGGCCAAACAAGATCTTGTGGCATCCGTCCAGCGTGCCCAACTCGACCCACACACTTAGCCTGCTCTATATCATATCTGGTACATCTATGATTATATATATATATATGATAGTTTTCCTAATGAATACTATGGAATACTGCTCCATTCAAGTGGATCGGCAGGATGGAACCCATTTTCGATGGTACCAGCGCGCATGGGTCCCCAGCCTCCCCGAGGGCCACCTCCGGCAGCGCATGGCGGCGGAAGCGCTCCGCCTCGGCCGTCGGCAGGTGCGCCAGGAAGTTGCGTGCAAAGTCCTGAGAGCGGTGTGGCGCCAGGAAGCGGAAAACGGCGCATCGGAGGGTCCCAAAGAAGCAAACTCATTATCTACTACCTTACCCCCCGGGGTCAAGCACCGCAAGGGGGTAGTGATGACTCATGCAATCACCAAAAGATCGCCCTTAAAGAATCAGCTTTGCTTTGCATCCATATACCTGTCCATATGATCATCTGTTGGGGGGGCTATGGGGATGGGAATGGCCATGCATGGGTTAGCACGCCCTTCTCCCGACATGACGCGTTTTTCGCCTCCAAGACCTTCTCCCCTCCTCCCGTCCTCGTTGTCTCGGCCCAGGACGTCGATAATGAGGTGTACCCGAGGCCTGGGTGGGACAAGTCGCGACGGAAGGCGAGGACTCAGCGGATGTCGTGGCCCAGTGGATGATGGGGCCTGGTTGCAGGCCGACAGTTCAAACATGATGATCATGGTTACTGGCTGTTACAGGTAATAGGACATACCCAACGGATGTCAATGACAGGGCAGCTTTCACCCCAAGGTCTCCCTTCCAAAGCTACGTCCCGTGAGGCAGTCGGGTCACCGAGAGCCCAAAGCTTCAGGTTCTTCTCATAGTCGACGGGTCAAACCAAAACCTTTACAAGCTGGTCCTTTACCTCATTGAGTATATCCCGAGAACCGATTTAAACACACTCCTTAATGGAAAAAAGAACTCATGTCGGAGACCCTTAAACCTTCTTAAGCCACAACTAACTATATATATATATATATATTCAGCACATGCAAACTATAGGTACATTTGGCGGTATTGTTTAGATGAGGTTCCTAAACAACCCTGGCTGTCCACCCTGGCTCTCTACCCTGGCTTTCCACCCATGCTGTCTGGTGCCAAGCTCGTTCGGCTGGCTATCTCAAAAGCAAGCCTGTCTGTCTGGTTCGGCTGGTTGATATCCTCTTAGAGTCCGAGTCCTAATAAGTTGGCAATTTCTTGAAGCGTGGCGCCCTTTCTGTTGGATATCTAAGCTGTTGGATACTGTTGGAGGGAACGGCCGGTGCGAATCGGTCCATTCTGCTGATGTTTCTGTGGCTGCCCAGGCTGCCAACACACCACTTAGACTCAGACTGCCTAGCTGAGTCCTAGTGACCAAAACCCGGGTTCCTATAGATGGGTTCCAGTTCGGATACTGTACCCCCCATTTGGGGAACCTCCTATATTAACAAAAATGCACCAGGAGTTTCTTTTATAGGGGGCCGCATGTTTTATTGATAGGTGGACGGTGGAAGGGATCAGTGTTTGTTTGTATGCCAACTCCTGTAATAAAAGGTCTGAGTCTTTGACCACTAGGGTATTGTACCAACTGCTCAACATCTGACAATCCAGGACATCCTCACACCTTGCGCTGAGCTGCTGAGTGCCCGCGTTGAAGACCTGGCAAAACACGAGCTGGAGAAACCGTGCCTGGAGAAACCCTTCGGCGACGAGCACCGCATCTGAGGTGCGCTGTGTCAGCTAACGCTGGGTTAGCTCAAGAGGATCGCATGCCGAACACATCAGATCAACCATGCGGCTCGCGCGAGCCGGGCGAGAGGAGGTCGTGGACCGTGTGGGTGACCGAGCGACCGGTGCAGTCTTAGTACACTCTCTGGAAGTAACATTGACATGGTTATGTGGATGGCCTTGCCCCGAAAGGAAGACCATGAAATCCACTACAAACAGGTGGTGAACTCCACTTCAATGTGAATTCCAGAGAGAGTAACCCAGGCCTTCCTCTTTTGCCTCACCCACCACAATCATCCAAAAGCAGCAGAACAACAAGATCCACACCTCACCTGCCGAGGCAGTCACCTCCAAGACTTGTGGAGGCGCTGTAAGAGACATCAAGAGACTCAAGGACACATCATCTCAACTTTCTTGAGGCATAACTGATCATGCACTAATTATACGGTAACCTGGGTCCTTTTCGGGAAAAACACGCCCTCCCGCATCCTCCAACGTTGACGCCACCGGTCCACCATCTTTCCCGTTCCCCATTGTTCCGAGCCACGCAATGAGGGATCGAGAAGTCTGCCCAATGAAGCTGGCCTCCGCTGCCGAGTTGAGCCAAGTCGAGCTGGCGTTTTTCTCTCTCTCTCTCTCTCCCTCTCTCTCTGCCCCCCCCCGTTGTTTTTTCATGTTGTTGTTGTTGTTGTTGTTGTTGTTCTTGTTGTTGTTCGGCGCGAGAAGTCAATGATACGATGTTGTTTTGTCTGGTGTTTTACCTTGGTGATCTTGGACGTTCGAAGAGCTTCATGGTTTGCAGTTACAAACTATATCAATAAAGTTAGTTATATATATATATGGACTATAGATGACTATAGACTATAGACAGCCTTAAATGCCTGAGCCCTAAACCTAGCTTGCAAGCCCTAGACTGTTGCAGAACCTAGAATGTCTCGTCCAAGAACCGGAAACACATTCCCTAGGAGGGGATTCACCCATAGGCATCCATAGGCTATGGGACCGATGGGACCATCACTAAAAATCACCGTAAGCAAAGAACAAGCCTCAGCCAGAGGCACCTCACAAACGTCCCATTCGAAGCAGGTCCGACATGTGTCCAAGTATTGGACTGGGTGTGTCCAGTCATGACCAGGTCGAAATCTCTATAAAATCGATTCTGACATAACATTCTGACAAGGAATTTCTTCCAGATCCGTACAAAAACGATGTTTTTCAATGTTTTCTTGGCCCCCCCGAAGCAAAACCCCAAGGAACCACCGGATGGCTCGAACGAGCCAGACGGCGAGAGCGAACCGGCGAGCCGAGCGAGTCGAACGTCCGAACAGTGGGGCGAGAGCGAACCGCTCATGATGGAAACAGAGAGCGAACCGCTCCTACCAGGAATTCCAACAGGTCACCACCGACTGCAACTCCGTCAGCCTAAAGGCCTCCATTTCGGAGACCTGTTGGTTTCGGTGCTGGTATAGTGACAGTGTCAGGTGTAACGGTGTAACGCAGGTCTCATGGGAATGACATCCAAACAATTCAGGGTAAATAGCAAGTCGTGTTTGTTCCGCCCTGTGTGCCAATGGCATGAGGGAACGCTTATTTCACTGCTCTGCACGCTCTGCAACGCTCTGCACCAGGTGCCATGTTGCAAACGTGCCGGCTTCCACCGTCACACCCTGCGGGTCAGAAACACGAGCTCCTGATGCTCTTTGCACGTGCGGTGATCCAAGAATAAGTCGAAATTTCACACTAATACCGTGCAGCGGATCCACAGTGGAACCCACAGTGGATCTCCATCCAGGTTCGTCTCAAAGATACGTTCTTCAGCATGAAACATCATAGCACCATTGACGCCCAATTCGGACCCCGAGTCGCCTTCAGGCACATGAAGAAGTAGCTGCCCTACCCTCGTCAAGGCGCGCGGGTTGGTCTGGATGGGGACCTCGACATGTGGCGAGCTCGGACAGCGGTCTCGGGGGGACAGAACTGAACCCAGTTCAACTCAGCCTCTAGACCTGTCTCATCTTCAGGGAGCCAACAAGCCAACAAACGCACCTTAAATCCAACCTTTACAAAGAGTAGGAGGCTGGAAGAGGTCCAGCCTCTTCCAGGCTGGACCTCTTCAGAGTGGATGGGTCGCCTGGGGATGACCCATCTCCACCCACGAATTCCGGTCCCGAGGTGCATGGAGGATCAAGCGCCCGTTCTCCACCACTCGGGCATCCGGGTGCCATGCCTTGGGAGCCCAGGTAGCAGGGTTTGGGTGAAGTTCGTCGGGCTCCAGGGCTGGGGAGTTGAGGCTTGGGACGCAACTAGGTGCAGCTGTTTCTGTTGAATTGCTTTATATTGCTTTCAACATGTACGCGAAACAGAACGAAGGGAGGGATGTTTTCAAGAAATCAAGAAGTCCTGCAGAATCTATCGCACCGCGCCTTAAACATCCTTACGCCTTTTGAATGCATTTGAATGCAAGGTTTCCGCTGATGGATGAGCCAACGCCGGAATAATTACACTCCTAGATACACCTTCAAAAAGTAATGGTGAGCAACACATTTATAGACCAGGACCTTCCAACAGGTCAGCACCTGCAACTCCGTCAGCCTAAAGCCTCCATTTCGGAGACCTGTTGGTTTCGGTGCTGGTAGGTGACCTCTTTCCAAAGAAGCCAGGACCCTTCCCGAGCTCGCTCCGCCACGGTCCAACGGTCCGACCGTTCCCTTTCGATAGCCCAGGGGGGCGATCATTCCATCGGGCAAGACCACGCTCAAGCGTACTCTGCCTGTGCCCGGTGTACGTGTACGCAAGGGGCGTAGTTGTGTGGTCCAGTGGGCCCAGCTGCCCAAAACATGTGATTGAATTAATGTAGACTCTTGATTAATAAACCCACCCAGATGAGTTTCAATTCAAATGGGGTGGTGTATTAATCAAGAGTCTACATATGTCAGGTCTTGACATGGCTTGGAGATGCTTGGAGTATGCATGCGCCATGCGCCAACTATGAAGTATGGCTTGAAAGCCCCCAGGCTTCGCAGGCAGCTCCACTCAACCAAGATGTTGGCACCGACACGGGCTTACTGCTTTCCAAAAGCAGTTCCTGATGTGAAGTCCTATAAAGAAAGGGTTCACACTTCAGCAGACCTCACGGGCTTTCTTTTTGCAGTTCATAGCCTCGAGATGCCCGAGGGCAAACTACGTGGTCCAAACCACCTTTGCTGAGTCCTTGCTTCCACAGTCACCGTTGAGGACCTCTCAGTCTCGGCCGGACATACTGCGGAACATGTACCCCACTGCGAGGCCGGAGGACTCTGGCAATCAACATGCTGGTATAGCCAATCTTGCCTGGTGGGTTAGATCAACCGTCACAAAGAAGGGGTCAATCTCTACAGAATTCATTGATCCTAAAGCTGCGCAATTAAATGCACGCAAGTCTCATCTGTTGGTGCATGTTAAAGAATTTAAAGACAAACACGGAAAATCTTCCTCCAAACCACCACCCAGTGGCTTCTCTTCGCTGGTAGTCTCTTCTCCTTGGCATAGCTCTGCATCGCTTGGAAGACTGCCTCCTCCGGAACAGTCGTGGCTTCCAAATAGCCCTCTTGGCACAAAAAGCTGCGGATCTCGGAATCCTCGCGGACGATACTCACGAGTGAAAGTGGTGCAAGCTGCTGACAGGGGGTCATGTTTATTGAGGTTCAGTTGTTGCCAAAAGCAACTGCCCAAAGAAATGACCCTTAAGAGACATCCTCCATGTTTTAAGGGACATTCAGCTATAATATGCTATAATCAGCTCGCAGAGTCCTCTGGGGCAATCGCCCACCGACCATTGGAGTTATGTGACAGAAATGCCTCCCTCAATTTGCGCTTCAGCTCTTGCACGCTGTCGCCAGGTTCCGGCATCAGCAACATCCTGGGTGACTTTGATTCTTTCATCATGTGCACTCAAAAGAACAACATTTCGAGATAATTGGAGGCCAGGGAACCACAAGCCATAACAACATCAGCACAGGCAAAACACATCAAAACACTAACAGTATTAACATGTATTTTAACTGGAGCTGTGCCTTCAAGACTCTTTCGTAACATATAGCGGTTCGTGTGAAGGCACTGGCAGAAGGCGCTGGCCGCCTCTCGGAAGTCGGAGTTGTGAACCTCTCCGGGGTCCAGATATCCGAGCCTTCGCAAGACTTCTTCTGCCAAGTCCTCGGAGTCTTCCAACATGAAGGGCCCAATGCCAGCTCGGGCGACTTCGGCATCCAAGCGGCTGGCGTACTTCCAAGCCTTCAAGCCTTGTGGAGCAAAGATGGGTTCTTCAAGGCTCGGAAATGACAAAACATGCTGGTCTGATAAAACAAACAAGTTTATGATGCTTTATAATAACTCAGGTCCTATAACCTGCGCAAAGCCTACAAAAGCATGACTTGCAACTTCTGTCAGTTCTCATACCATGGCCGGTCAAAGGTTTTTCTGGCTTTAGGATCCGATAGCGTCACTTCAAAACCACATTTTAAGCGGAAAACCAGAGCTCGCGTCTCCGCGGCGCAGGCACCAGGGGCTATATATAGGCATGGCTAGCTTTCAGGATGGCTTGCGGCACTAACTTCTGTGGATGGCGACGCGTCACGTTCTGTGACCCTCTACCCCCCCACCGCGGGAACCCTGCGCAGCGGTTGCGCGTTCCGGTGCGCCTGGGCCTTCCGAGTCGACGCGTGGCAGAACGAAGGCCCAGCGCCGCGCACCCCGGGGCGTCCAGCGCTTCGCGTCGGGCGCTAGAACCATTGCCACGGCGTCGTGCAGGAGCCAGCTGGGATAGACCGGGACCGTGCCCAGGGAGTTTGCAAACCAAAACTTTGCAACGGCATGATGCCAAAATTCATCTTCTGGATGGTAGTAGCCTGGCAAAATACCAACTCAAAGAACTCCAAGAAATTGGTTGCGGCAAAAACTATTATTAGTCTGGAATTCCAAACCATTAGTACACTCTTTGCCCCCAGGCTGTCCAGGCTGCCCGCTTTCGCCATGGTCGGCATGCACTCTCAGCACTCCCACAAGTCAGTTCTGTCGAACCGGCGTAGTCCCGCCCCCCTCCTCCCCAAGCCCTCGTCGTCCACCGATTGAAGATCCGTGCTCCCGGTCAGTGCTCCCGTGACGGTGACGCGACCCGGCACCGAGCTCGCCATGGCACCGAGCTCGGCCAACGTCTTTAACATCTCGTCGAGCTGAAGGCAGCGTTCCTCAGGCCATTGGAGTTGCCGCTCCTGGACGGGACGCAGCACGCGCGCAGCTGCGCGAGCAGCTCGCGAGCGCTCGTGTGACGCTCGTGTTAGATGAACGTCCTTTTCCTGGGTTGGGGTGAAGGTGACCGGGTGAGATACACGGAAATGCACGTATATCACCTTACAATGCAGCTTTCTTGTCCTGGCCTCCACTGTGAGGAGCGCTGCAAATGCTCAAGCACTATACATAAATGGACTTTTTTGCATATTATAGCTCAGGCCATTGGAACCTATGTTACAATTGGATAAGCATGGAAAACTACCTGCTAAATTTTTTAGTGAGCTTTAATTTACGTAGTGAGAAAGGAGGGACAATGGGCTGATTTCAGGAACAGGGTCCATACCAGGTTTTGTGCACAAGAGAGCCTGTTGATCAATGTTGATCATTGAGTACAAAATCTGATTGAGTATTAATTTGTAGTGAGTCTGGATTGAGTGCTTTCTGATCCTCGTAACGGTTGTTTCTGGGCATGTTGTTCATCTTTGTCAGGCCCCACCAATGAATCCTCCTTCTTCCGGGCGCCAGTCCCGCTTTGTCCTGCAGTGATCCATCCCCTGTTGCGTGCAACAGGGCCATCACAGTTGGGCATTTCACCTGGGCCAAGTGAAATGCATAAGTGCCAAACGCAACCATGCCGAGCGACCGTGGCATGTATGGTTTCGCCGTATGAAGCTCTGGCAAAGTCAAATGCATAAACATGTGTGGTGTGTCCTATCCCTCATTCCCTAGCCCAGCCGTTTAGAGAACTTCGCTCTCTCCGTTTTTTGCAATCAAGTGCGTGAATTGCGGTGCTCTTTTTTTTCAGAGTTGGGGTCTGACCCGTATCGATTGTTTTATAGTGGTTTGCTATAGTGAGTGGTTTGATATATATATATATATATGTGGTGGTTTGTGCTTTGAAGGACTTACTTTGCAGCTCCTTCGCGCGGTTCGACGTGCAGCACGGACATCATGCGCGGACGTACTGTCTGTAACGGTGTTCCGCGTGGAAAACTCAATGTATCACGGCGCCTTGGTTTCCAACACCGAATTTGCATAAAAGGACCATAAAGTTGCGCTTGTCTTGATTTGTTCAAAGTCACCGATAAACAATTAATTACAATTCTACAACCCTTTCCCCTACACTGAGAGACCTGGTACGGCGTGAGCGGTCATTTTTCACACCGGGATGCCTTTATTGCAGTATGTTTTTTAAACGGTGTGATCATTAACCGCCCCACGCCCCACACCTGCCAGAAAAAATTGGACGTGCTGACCCATCAGTGCTTATGAGCACGGCTCATGAAAAGCATAAACTTAAGCTTCTGTCTAACGATCATATTGAACATGCCTCAGTTTTTTTAAAAAGGTCAATGCTCAAACTCACGAGTTAAGCTCGTATATAGTGACCTTGCACCAACATCTCCACCGATAAACCTTCCCCGTGTCTTACTTTCAATGGCGGTGTTGAGATAAGTTTAAAAAATCAAAAACCGTAGTAGTCCACTATGCAGCAAATTGTTCCCTGCCAAGCATTTTCCAAACAAATCAAATGACGAAAACAAATGAAAACGAGAGATGTGCGGAAAACTTGATGGCGGCCCATGGATAGCTTGCTTAGCAAGGCCATGCAAGGCCTTACTGATTTGGATGAACATCCCCCAGTATGAAACTGTACAACGCACCTTCACCCGGATGAAAACGCACCTTCGGCCGGATGAACCACCGTCCAATTTGTTTTGATCTTCCTACGGTACTTCTGCCACCCACGTCAGGCAATTCAACAAGGTCACTCCATCCAAGCTGTTTGGGACATTCTTAATAGGGCCGTAATTTGACATGTTAAATGAGTGGATGGATCGACCAACAACTACAAGAGATACTGATATATTTTATATAACTATAATATATAATATATATATATATATTATATGTATGTACCTATTCCCCTTTTGGGAAGCGAATCTGGATCAAACAGCCCATCGGTCCTCTCGTGTCAACATCGCGTCGTTCGGCCCGGCGCAGTCTCCAACCCTCGACACCGCAGTCTCGGCACCAACGACCTGGGTGGCTTCAGGGTACAAACCTGGGCCTCCGTCTCCTCGCTGTAGCGCTTCAAGCAGCTGGTCTTGCCCGGCGGAAGGAGTAATATCGCCGAGCGTCCTGGGCCGAGTCAGAAAGTTCGTACGTGAAGACTGCGTGGGGGTCCGGTGGGTGGGTGTTGATTGGGATGTGACCAGCGTGGGGCTGCTTGCTGGGGGTGGAGGCCCAACCTCCACAGCACCAGCGTAGGTGAAACGCTGAGTGTCATCCCCGTTCCAAGTCCCAATGTTGATTGATCTTGACCCCCCCCTGCCCCTTCCAAAGCCCAGGCCATCAAGCGTCCGCTGGCACAGAACTCTTGCACGCTGGGAACGAAGTCATCATCCCCTGTCAAGATAGCCATATGCTCTGCCCAAGGCAACTTGCTCATGGCCCGAATGTCCTCATCAAAGCACATGGCGTTGCACCAGACTGGCGAACATGAACAGAATGTCCTACCGGGTCCTACGCAGAACGTTCCCCATGCTGAAGATAGACCAGGAACCACCCCGCGCGGTTCATGGACACCACCTAACCATCCTTAAGCATCTTACCGAAACGGGAGGCCCAGGTGCTTGCCTTCCCAACCAAGACATCGTGTTTGACGCTACGGAATCATCCGGGCCCAGTGTCGGACTTGATGGCCTCATCGGTGGCATCCATGACACCCTTGTCACGAGCCACGGGTTGAAAGAAGATCCCAGGCTCTTGCACAAAGTCCGACCAGTGTGGCTGTTGCATCCGCCCTGGTCGTCCACAAGTCGTCCAAATGCTCCACAGACATGGGCGGGCAGGGTATGATCTTTTCTTGCCCTTGACCTTCTGACTTGCATTTGTTTTGTGAATCATACGGACTACATTTACATCACAGGATCCAAATAATGGGCTTGGCATGGCTTGGCTGCCAGGTAGCCCTGAACCATCCTGAACCTGTATCATATAATTCCGATATCAAGGTGGCTTCAGGAAGCAAAGCACGTGAGATGAGGTCGGTATATGTCTTGAACGAACTCCGCTCGTCTTCTTGGAGGTGCCACTTCTGTTCTTCCGATCCTGGGTCTCCGGATGTGGAGCATTCCACGCTTTTCCACGCCTGGCGGAGCGAAGAGCAGGGTTTGCACTTGGTAGCCGTGGTCCGTGAGCATCTGCAGGCCTTGGCGGATCAAAGGGAGGCCCACCGAATCGGCATCCACCAGGAACTCGCAATAGCGCTTGGCGCCCGGGATTGGCACGCTGCCATTTTGGCGCTGCGCTTGGCGCGCCCAAAACCGCCGGGAGCCAAGAGCTCGACCTGGAGAAGGTGCTGGGCTAGTCTAAACGACGAGTCGTTTCGCCTTGCCTGTCACGGGCCACCGAAAAGTGAAACATGGGGAAACTACTGGAAACCAACAAATACAAGTGACATCAAGTGACAACGTTTACCATGTGGTACACATAGCTGCTCAAATAAAGCCGCAATGTACTCCCCTGTAGATAAACATGGAACCCCCCAAAACCATTGGTATTCTAGGTTGGTATTCGGAAAATGCTCTTCCACTGGTCCATTATCACGGATCGGGAATTGACCAATTTCGAGATTTCCGGGGGGGTAACTGTACCAGGACCCTTGAAGGGGTGCCCTGCCTGGAAGCCTATAGGTAGTTTGGGGTAGTTCAGCCAGGACACCCCGACAGGAGGGTGGTATGTTATCCTTCTTCTCCGGGGAGCGTGCTCTTCGCCCCCAAGCTCCGATTAAGAGCGCAAACGCCGCCGCGGCCACACGTGGCGACACAGGTCGCGGGCGTGGGCCGACGTGGGCCGCAGCGTGGGGATCCAGCGCACCGTGACGAGGCGTGACGCAAGGCGTGACGTGGCTGCACACATGGCGTGGCAGTGGCTGCATATGGTACAAGCTGCAGTCAGTGGCGAGGTTGCTTTGTATCAACAGTAGGAGCACCTTCAAGAATCCGGAGCTGCTGAGCTGCATACTGCTCACCTAAAAAGGCAAAGTAAAGCGGCTTCAGCTGCCAAACAGCGGCACATGATCTAGCTATTAGCCTTCAAAGATGGTGGTAAGTGATGTTGATAGTCACGACCCAACTGAAGGGCACTTGCTATTCTAATCGATTATAATATGATGATGATTATTATATGATTATTATATATGTGCTTTCATCCTCTTCCATCCATGATGTCGAACCCAAGCACCATTGAAAGATCCAAGGCTGGAAGGTTCCAGCTTCCGTTGATACCGTTGATCCGGTGAAAAGCGCCTTCCGTATCCAGGAGCTGCCAATGGATTCCGGTATGCTAGGTCATGTCGGCTCCTTTCTTTGGGAATTTTCTCAGGATCTTTGCATGATCTTTACTCTTTTCCCCTGACCAACTGTCTATGTACTGTTTTTCTATGGATATGCGTGATGTAGTGATGCAAGTTTGGAGCACTGTCTTCTTGTTCGCTTGATGCACTGGCAATGCTGACCGGAAAACGGCTGGCTCACGTCTTTCATAGTGTGAAGGGACCGTCGAAATCAAGCACCACAGGATCACACCGTGGGGTAGTCTCCTGTCTGGGTGTGACTGGAGGTCCAGGACCGACAGTGGGCATAGTGGGCTGGGTAGTCTACTGGACACCCAAAAGGGATGACCATCACGTGGGGGTCCAGGACCCGTCGTGCAACGAGCCAACCGTCCATCACCAAAAAATCGGTTGGGGACATACTAGATCCACAATTTGTAGGGCTCCTGGTCCATATCCTTAGAAGGTGGTTAGACCCCCCTGGCACCCGCCATAACCATCTTCTCAGAAGGTAGGCCTTGTCCAATCGACGGTGTCGAACCGATCGAACATGCATCACCACAATCATAAACAATTCTCAGCACCTCATGCATCAGCACAACCGGATCAAGCTTTCCTGTAAGGTTCTACCCCAATATTGCAGTAATATAAACGCTTGATTCTACAATAAAACCCGCATACGATGATGTTTTAAAATCCAAATGGGGGGAGGTTATTCACCAAATCTACCGTCTACGTTAATATAACCTCTTCAGGCGTGGCAAAAGTTGGAACTAGCTCGCCGCCTCCGCTTGCCGCTTGACCGCAAAAGACCACCCCAAAAGGAACGGCACCCGACGAGTCCGTGGTCCCAATTTCACGGCCGGGACGGTGGCGGGAGTCCGGCTCGAACTAGGAGCAAGGACGCTACTAGGGGCTCCTGGCATCGCTACTAGGAGCATTCTTACTACTAGTAACAAGAAGCCATTAGGGGCTCCTGGCATCGCTACTAGGAGCATTCTTACTAAGCTATTAGGGGCTCCTGGCATCGCTACTAGGAGCATTCTTACTACTAGTAACAAGAAGCTATTAGGGGCTCCTGGCATCGCTACTAGG